CTGCCAAGATCTGTCTCTGCCTTTGAGGCTTAGTTGGGAGCTTGGGACCCTTGAGATTAGTGATCAACATGGTGAGGCTCACACGCGAAGAAGGAGCCAAGACATTGAGGGACTGACTTTTTAACGTGTGTCTTATGTGCTGGGCGTTCTGCTAGGAGTTTTATAGATCTCATTTTGCTTACTTTACAACAATCGTATGTAGGTGTCATTATTAAGCTCCTTTTACAGAAAGAGAAACTGAGGCTCAAAGACACTGGATAACCTGCCCAGGTAATCCAGCTGGCCCGTGGCATAGCCAGTCTTCAAAGCCAGCTGTGTCTTACAGCGTAGGCCTCCTCTGTAGCACCTTGTGGGTCACATCCTTGTTAATCACAAGTCCTGCTTGTCCTCAGTACTATTTATAGGAGTAATAATTTTTTGGGGGGTGGGGACAAAGGCCATATAGCAGTATTAGAAAATCCCTCATAGATATTTAAACACAGTGATTTTTTTTCATTTTTCCAGTTTTTTTGTTTTTATCCTCCCAACCCATCATATTTCCAGGGTAGGATAGTCCATGTTTTTTTATCCCCCACCAAACCTCGTATGTCCCATATGAGAGGCCTGTGTCATACCCTGGCTTGGCAAATTTGGCTGGGCTGGCACAGCAGTGGTGCGTGGGAGTCCCTCTGATCTGTCCTCTGCCTACGTCGCTCCCAGCAGAGCGATGCTGCTGTGGCTGCCACTTCAGTTTTAGCAGATGGAAAGGCTTTTTATTTGCTCCCCCGTTTTAGGTCGGTTTTCCTACTTTTGTGAAATTTCACTTGTGGTGTGTTTCAGATGAAGCTGCATGAGCAGATCCAGCTCTTGAAGCCACAGGGAAGATTAACTACCGTGCCATAGCTTGGTTTGGCACTGGATGACAGGTCTAGGTCTTATTTCACTAGACTTCTAAGGGAGCCACTGTTTTATATTCCTTGACTATAGTTTTGGCAAATGTGTTGCCTGGATTTCAGAGTTCTGTGAGTTCTCTTAACTTTACCCTCGTGTTTTTCTCTCCCTTTGAGTTTTTACCCTTTCTCGTACTTGTGAAATTCAGAACGCTGATGCTACAGTCTCCCTTATTTGCAACTTTGCTTCCTACCCCTCTCTTCAGGTCAGAATCAGTTAGGTAGTGCCACTGGGCTGGCTCTCCTGCTCAGACCTTCTCACCGCGTCCCCAGCGTTGCAGCCCTCTGTGTTCCTTCCTTTCACAGTCTCTCCTCTCAAGTGCCTCTCTGTCTGCCTTCTACCGCTTTGCCACTCAAAGTCTGGTTTTTGGACCCAAAACATCAGCATCACTTGGAAGCCTGTTGGAAATGCAGAATCTCAGGCCCCACCCCAAACCTCCAGATCAGAATCTGCATTTTCACATGTTCTACAGGTGATCTCTGTGCACATTCAAGGTTGAGAAGCTCTGCTCTAAATCATACTTCTTCTGTGGATTGTGTCCTAATTAAGGGAATGGAGTGTTAGAACCTATTCTTTCTCTAGGAATAATTGGATAAAGAGGTTTTTTTAAGTTATATCCATTTATTCATCTTTGGGCAATACTTTTGTCATTTTTAGGGACAAGAACAAATGAATATGTTTGGGAATAAATGGCTTTGCCTACCCATATGAGTGAAGTTAGGCCATTGGGAAAAGCTTGGATAATTTGTTGATAGATGCTTACCGAGGAAGGATTCAAGTAGCAACTATCATCACTGTTTTGAAAAGAAATGGAGGGGGTGGTTCTGTAGAAATACTATTTGATTCAGGAAATATTTATGGTTTTCAAAATATAAAATATAAAAAATATATAAGTTTGCGCTACTGTAACAAAATATCATAGATTAGGTGGTTTATAAACAACAGAAATTTATTTCTCATGGTTCTGGAGGATGGAAGTCTGAGATCTGGTGCCAGCATGGTCGGGTGGTGGCCCTCTTCCAGGTTGCAGACTTCTCACTGCTTCTTCACGTAGCAGAGGGGTGAGCTAGCTCTCTGGGGTCTCTTTTATAAGGGCACTAATCTCATTCATGAGGGTTCCACTCTCATGATCTACTCACCTCCCAAAGGCCCACCTTCTAATACCATGCACTTAGGGGTTAGGATTTTAACATACGGATTTTGGGGGGACACAGACATTCAGACCATAGCAAAAATATAAACACATAAATTTTGTACCTCTCGAGAAGGCAACTGAACAAAAAGTCTATATATAAACTAAAATAAGTGTTGGATAGGCAGGTAGAGCACCTGGCTCTTCTTTCTTTAAGTATATTTCTACCCTGTTTGTGGAAATATTACTTATTATGGAGGTTCCACGATAGCACAGGTCGTATCCCAAGGCAGAGTGACTCGTGTTTTTCCTAAGGCAGGTTTCATCATGTCTTTAAGCATTAGAGGCTCTATGCATGGAAAGGCTGTGCAGTAAAATGGATGGAGTAGGAGTGGGGATAGGAACCCCCTTGCCCAATGGTGAAGAGAGCAATGATATTGCTTGGAAGCACAATGGAGTTGAGTGGTCAGACTGATGCCAGTCCACTCCCAGGTCCCCCACCTCTTCTTTGATCTGCCCTTACACTGCTCCTGGAGTTGTATTAGTAGGGACAGTATCTGTATCCCTTTTTTTTTTCTTTAAATCCTCAGGACCTTTAAATATCCAGCTGGTACTTCTAAGACCCAAAATTTTGAAGGAATAGAATTTGATAAATTATATCCATAGGTTATCTAAAAGAGTTTCTCTCTCTCTCTCTCTGTCTCTCTCTCTCTAACACACACACACACACACACACACACACACACACCAGTTTGCTCACTACCATGTCTGAGAACCTGATACTCTGGATAGGAAGTGATACCAGGCATCTAAATGCAAAGGGCTAAAAAAACGTGTTTTTCCAGACTCGGATCCAGCTTTGCTTCAATGCAAAAAAATTTCCCTTCCTGTGAGCGTTGATTGTTCATTGTGCGTTTTGATTAATGATTTAAAAGTTTAGAGTTAGAGAACTACATGCCCACAAGGTACTCTGTGGATATTCCCTTGGACAAAACTGTCGTCAACCCGGATGTCTTCAGAGACCCTGCTCTTAAATGCAAGGCCTGACGAGAGGCCAAGGTCAAGTTCGAGGAGAGATACAAGACCGGCAAGAACAAATGGTTCTTCCAGAAGCTGCGGTTCTAGATCTGTTTTGTTTCAGTCATTAAAAATACAAAAAATCCCCCCCCTCAAAAAAAAATTAAAAAAAAAATAAAAAGTTTAGAGTTAGAAAGCTAGGAAGGCATTCATTTACACTGAATATAAAATGGTGAGAATGTGGAGCACACTTACTTTCAAGAAACATTATTCTCATTTCTGTGAGCAACGGGGGCATCAGTTTAAACTGGATCCTCCCTAATGCTGGAGGCCCTCGAAGCGGGCCATCCACACAATAAACAGATGCTGGCGACTTGAAATAGGAATGGCCTGGGCAGTGTTCCGTTTCTCCTCCAGAAGTGTCTTAGGGTATCAAAACCTAACACCAGAAACGGATGGAAACTGGACCTCAGGTTTCAGATCTTGTTCAAAGGACAGGAGTTGCCGAATTGAAAAGTGTCAGATTTAGAAAACCCGTACTCAGTTAAATAGATGAGGGAAATGATGAAGGGAATGTGTTGTTATGTAATGAAAAGAAACTAGAAAAATTAGTGATTTTCTTAGTTTGTCCTTGGTAAAAAGCATTTAAATCAACATATATTAAGGTATGTGTATGTGTTACGTGTCATGGTATTTTGGCCAAGTTATCTGACCTGTAGGGTCTTGGTAATTTGAGGATTAAGCTGTACCAGATATGTATAAATTTCAGCCCAGGTTGGAATATTCTGGTCAGGCAACATTAAGTTAACTCAGAGTTAGCTAGACACTTATTATTACTGAAAATATTTATAGGATGCATAAATACACTTTTCTTTCATCATAAGTACATAATAGCATGAATGAGGTTTCTTTGATGACCTAAGTTATTCTTGTGGCTCTTGGACACCTTGAAAGTGAATAAGTCTGGTCTGGTACCTGTGATTGAGGGTTACCATTCGGCTGAAGCTTTATAGGAGTCATCTGGCAATAACTTAAAACAACAAACCAAAGCCAATATGAACTTGACTATTGCAGAAAAATGTGGTTTATTGAAGTTGCCCATTTCTCTGATTTCAAAACTTTTTTGTTTTATGTCTTTATATAAAACTTTTTTCCCTACAGCAGTTTCCTAAATTTGACATACAAAGCATTATTTTCCTGCATTGTTAATGTTGATTCAACTGTGACAGTATATCTACTGCAGGACTTCTCAGAGTCCTTGACAGTACTAATACTCCCTATGACTCTTTTAGAGTGAGATACACTATCTGATATTTCCAAGCTTATTTCACGTGGCCTGCCCACCCCTGTGCCTTTTTTTTTTTGTCATTGATGGACTATCTACCCTGAAATATAGTTTGGGAAATGATGCTCTTGCATTTTCATATGTATTTTCTCATTTACCATCACAGCAGTCCTGGGAAACAGAAACAATTTTTTTTTTCCCCTTTGGATGAGGCAGGAGCTAAGATCCGCTAGAGCCCAGGCTGGCACCAGGACCCGGGTATCCTAATAACTCACCCAGGCTTTTGACTCTCTGTCAAGGCCTTCAGTTCAGGTAGGAGGCACTTAGTCATGGCAGGGCCCTGTGCTGGCAGACTGGGGTGTTGTCTGGGTGATAATGGCGATTTGAGGTTCCTCTGTCCTGTGGCTGGTCCACAGGGCTCTATGGTCTTCTGTAGAGGCCTTTCTACTTCTAGCAAGTTGATATTGAGGGTGAGAGAGTTAGTTCTTGTGGAACTTCTTTGAACTCATGGTTTAGGCAGCCCTCAGGTATGGTTTTAGGTAGGAAAGGTGCCTGGGTACTCAACTGTGGTTCACTTGTGTTTTGCTCCCTGATTTTCACCCCATGATATTATGTGATGTTTTGCTCTGTTTATAGAAAGAAATTCAAGCCATGAGTCAATGCAGCCATCCCAACGTAGTGACCTATTATACCTCTTTTGTGGTAAAAGATGAACTTTGGCTGGTCATGAAGTTACTAAGTGGAGGTAAGTGGGTTTTGTTGTTGTTTGTTTGTTTTCCCTTTTTGTGCGAGCCAGCATATTGAATACGACTAGATTTGATCTCCTTACTCCTGTATTTAAAAGTTTTGCTTGGTTTATTATTTGCCTAGAGAATAAAGTCCAGAAATCTTTACATTGATACTCAAAGCCTTTCATAATTGGGCTGACCTTTCTAGACTATCCATGTCCTTTTCTGCCCTGGCCTTCCCGGTGTAGGTGAGGCTCCCTGAATATCTTCTGCACTCCGATGCCTCTGTGCCCTCCCCCTCGCTGCTCCTCTGCCCTAGATGTCTGACCTTCCTTTTCCATGTTCTTATGCCCTAAAAGGTCACGTCCTCTCTGCAGCCACCCCTTGCTCTCTTTGGAAAAGTTAACCAGTCCTTCTTCTTTAAACTCTTTGTTTTTAATATTATTCAAGTCCTTAACATGCTGCAATATAATGAATTATTTCAGTGCTGTTTATTAAAAGTTCTCTGACGATGGAAATTTTCTATAGCTGTCCTACCCAGTTTCTACTAGTTACATGTGGCTCTTGAACACTTGACCAGTGGCTAATGTTACTAAGGGACTGAATTTCTATTCAATTTTAATTAGCTTATATTTAAATAACCTCAAGTGGCTAGTGGCTATGGTATTGGACAGTTCAAGTTTAGAGTGTGGACTTCATGAAGCAAGTTTGGTCTAATGCACTTCTGAGTCATTGAATCTGACACCCAGGGGCTGCTCAACGAATGTGGTTTCGAATGAAATGGGGAGAAACTTTCTGCATGCTAAGTGATTTGCTTGCATCGTTGATCAGAAGTGACATTATTTTCATCCTATGTTTGCACGTGGAAAGGGAAAGTAACCTTCCCTGTCTAGTCTCAGGTCACTGAAGTTATAAAAGCAACTGACAATTTAATTTATCAAGCACTTTTACATTCCTGTATTTTATTTCTTTTAACCTTTTAACATCACTAGTTGATAAGGAATGATAATGACAACCCTTTAACTTTATTGGACACTTACTCTGTGACTAGATCCTGTTCAAGGCAATTTACTTACCTTATATCATTTAATCTGGACAACACTCTGAATGGCAAGTGTCACCATCCTTGTTTTTCAGAAAGTACACCAAAGCTCAAGAGAGTTAAGCAAATTGCCCAAGGTCACACACACATGATAACTGTTAGTGCTGGAATTTGTGACTGTAGGACCTGTTGACTTAAAAGCTGTGCTATGCTGCAAATATTGTCACCTTCGTCACACAGACCTGAAAATTGATGCTTAGAAAGCCCAAGTGATTACCTTTGTAACACCCAGCATACCCACGCCTCTCACTCCTTATATATCTTTCTGAGACATGGAAGTATGGTTTAGGAGCAGAGGAGAACATTTTGTGGTGCCTGGATGAAGCCCAGACTGACATAGCAGAATTTCTATTGTAGAGCCCATTTTAATCTGCAGACGTAGTTCCAGCTAAGGCTGAATCAGGGAGGCATCTTAATTCATTTTTTTTAAAGAGGCTATCTTGGATCAAGCAGAGGCCCAGAAATGAGGTGACGAATGTGTTGTAATTGCCTTGGGTCTGCTTGTGTAGGTCTCAATGGGGGAGCCTGGGAGAGCTTAGTTCGGTTCTGTTCCCAGTCTTGTCAATCCTATTAGTCATTGTTTCCTTGAGAGGCTACTTTGGTTTTTAATTAAAAAGGAAAAGAAAAAAAGGGGGAAACAAAAAGAAAAAGGAAGCCTAGCTGGAGCCAGACTGCAGTGCTGAGTGTCGGGACTGCTCGGTGGTTCTGCAGAGGACGGTGCTGTGTCCGTAAGATGCTCTTATCCTGATCTCTTCTTGTGCGGGTCCACTGACTCTGAGGAAACGAGAAATTCTGGTGACCTGGGACCCTAGCTAGCCCCAAGTATTCTGTTCAAGCTGAGAATTTTACCTCTTCTCTTTATTTTTATCTCAATTAACCTTTTATAGGCTTCAGACTATCCCATCTCCGTTCCTGAGAACCTGATAGAAAATTTCATTGTCTTTTTAAAAGAATCTAATTTAATCTCCCTGGGCTTTAGGTAAGAGGAACAGGTTTTAAACAGGTTTCCACAGGTAAGGGGAATGTGGGCAGCTGTGGACTCGTGCTCACTTTTCTTTGAGCAGGCCAGAAATGCATGCATGCCTGGTATGGCATAGCCTTATAAGATAAAAATAAAATGTTTTTGGAAGTATCGTTTTCTAAATGATGCAAAAATCCAAGAGTCAATGAGTAAAGAGATGTTTTGTTTCTCTCTGAGGGGGAAAATATTCATTTGTTTTCTTCTTTAATATTTAATCATATCAAATCTTTTAATGAGGGGCGAGTGGCTAGTCCAGTATAGTAATATCTGGTGGGGAAGCTCAATCCTCTTAGTTAATCATAGCCTACAGCCAAATTCAGGTCCTGAGGTAAGCCATTTGTTAACTCCTCAGAAATGTGGAACCCTCAGGTAATTACAGCTTTTAACATGACCCAGAGGTTTGGAATATTAATTAATATGTGTTGAAACATGAATTCACAGTGCCAAGGATACTAATCTGTTTATAGTAACAAAGTACTGTGTATTTATTTCATTATTATAAAAGTCAGTACATTATGCATCAAGTAAATGAAAATAAAGATTGCCTAAAGTCACAGAAAGGACTTCTGGTTATAAGCAGGGGTCTAGAGGCAACATACGTTTTTTCTCCCTTCCCTCCTGTGTTCTAGGTGTTAAGAAAGCTGTGTTTCTCTCTCTCAGCAGTTCACTGCTACCTTTTCTCCTGGCCTCTCGTTCCTTTCTTTTTCAGTTCAGATGTCTTGAACCCTCTTTTGAGTCTATAACCAATTGTGTGCCTAGGGAAAAGGGACCAACCCTGAAATGGCCCTGAACAATCTTCTAGTTCCTGACCCAGAATCCTCTCATTAAGTTCACACTGAAAATGCTCTTGCAGACTTGGATGTAGTCTTTCTGGTCATGTGCTGCCATGTAGTTGTTTGTATGCCTTGGGAATATTTATGTTAAATAAGCAAAAAACATATTTTGATGTTCCCATTTAATTTTCTAAATAGTGGAGCCCTATGTGAAAAGATAATGAAGGTGCTTACACAAAATTTTCAATTCTTTTCTCCGTCCACTTAGGTTCAATGTTGGATATCATAAAATACATTGTCAACCGAGGAGAACACAAGAACGGAGTTCTGGAAGAGGCAATAATAGCAACAATTCTTAAAGAGGTTTTGGAAGGCTTAGACTATCTACACAGAAATGGTCAGATTCACAGGTATGATTTCTGCAGAGATATTTAAATTCAGCTGTTTGTATCTTTAGGTCTAGTTTGTAAAGAATATTAGGGAAATACATATTGCAGGTAGGTGTCAGCATTATTTCTAACTTAGGCTAAATAGATGGGAAAACGTACTTAAGAAAGAAACAAGACAATATATTTTGATGACTTATATTAGTATCTTCAGGATTGGTTTATCTCCTTTCACTGAAATAAAAACAGAATATAAAAAGTACTGAGTGGACTCATTAAAAAAATCAGTTAATGTACTACACTTGAAGTATGCTCAGTTGAACTGGATAGCATCTCTAAATGTCTAATACAGGCAGAACTGTTCCAAACGTCATAATAATTTAATTATTTTTGACGTGAGGTGAGAGGGAAGGAGGAGGCACTAGTTTCATCTTTTGTGACATAAAATGCTAATTCTTTAAATAGCCAAACAGCATAGAATATGAGTGCTTGATGTTTCAAATGGGTTAGTATTATTTGGGCTCTTGGGAATAGTTGCAAATAAATAACCATTTACTAGTGATACTAGTATTATATAAGTGAGCTATATATTTAATGATATCTACTATGTCTTTCAATAATCAGAAAAAATATTACTTTAGAAATCAAATTTATAAATTGTAAGTTGTCATTTTTCTTTTTTAAGTGTTAAGACTTCTATACAGTGAAGAATTGTGCTATAGGATATCATAATTAGTATTTATAATCAATATCTATCCAGAGCAGAGACTGATCAAATCCGTTGTTTAAGAGGCCGATGAGATTAATTTGGAATTGCTCCACAGACAAATTTAAGTGGAAGTAGAACAGGTTTACATGGAGTGGGCTTTAATTCTTGATAAAATGATAATATTGTGAGTTTATGGATAATCTCTAACTCTAGGATAAAATAAAGAATCTACTCAATAGTGATGTAATTCAATCTGGATAATGATTTCACATAAAATATTTGCTACTAAAATCCTAACCGTCTCCTAGGAGCAAACTATAAAATCACAATGTACTCTTGTAACTTTTAAAATCTGTGATACAACTTTAATTTTATAAAATAATAATAATGTCAAACAGCTGCATTATATGATGTGTTTTAAGATCTTCTTGAGTGAATTAATGCAATATAATGTCTGTACTCCACAATTTATTCTCCATTTTTTTTTCTAATAGGGATCTGAAAGCTGGTAATATCCTTCTGGGTGAGGATGGTTCGGTACAAATAGCAGGTAAAGCTGATAAGATAAAAATTCTTTACTTGTTTACAGAAGTGTTACAGTTTCAAGGAATGTAGAATCGTTCCTAAGAAATGAATAAATGCATGTAATCTGTTTTAAGAATGTATCTGGGCTGCCCTATTATAGAATATTTGGGTCTGAGGCAGAAGAATATTTGGGTCTGAGGCAGAACATTTTTCCTGTTGCTTTGATAAACCTTTGTTAGATCATCCTATAAATAATTCTATTTTAGAACATAGCCTTTTGATAAAGAACAATTTTAATTTTATTATGTTTTCTGCCTTTCACATTGAATAATGGTGATATTGATATAACTGCAAGAAAAGCATCTTTGAGATTTTTTGGATGAATTTGATAGTTTAAAACATTGTGCACATTAATTGAAAACCTTTTATTTCTGAACACGTGGCTGAAAGAATTGTGGACTCTTAAAATCCAGGGCTTATTTTGCTCTTAAATCTGACCCTACTTGGCTCTTCTTGACAGAAGGTGGGCATGCAGATGCAGGACACGGCTACTGAGTGACTGCATCAGACGAGTGCCTTCTATGTGCAGAACCTCTCATTCTGTTATTGCTCCTAGAGAACCTGAAAGGCCTGAGATAAAACGTAGCCATGTCCATGTTAACTCTTGTTTTACTCCATGTCCACGAAGGTCTGTCTCAGCAGTCCTCTCAGCTGTCACTGCTTTTGGCATTTTTGACTGGACAGTCCTTCCCTGTCAGCCCTGGACTGCCCCTGTCACTGCAGAGTGTGCAGCCTTCTGGCTTCCAGGCATTAAATATTAATAGCAGCACGTCCTAGCAACATCCTTGATGAGAATCTCTGATCTGGCTTCTGTTGCTGAAGAATGTTGAAATTTGCCCCAAATGTTTCATTAGCCTCCTCTGCTTCTCTTTGAGTTGGAGTGGAAGAGTCCACTCTTCTGCCGTAGGTCTAGGGTTTTTCCATATCTAGTTATTAGACTAAAGTTGATCACAGTCCTTGCTCTCAGTCTTGTTTCTAGACAAATCTGAGGATCTAGGGTTATTATTAGAAATGCAAGAGTTCAGCAGAAAACAGACACACCCTAACACAAAGGATAAGGCTTGAGTCATCTCTTTGATTCGTTGTTTGCCCCTCTCTAGGTGCGAGAGAACCTGTCAGGTGATGCCCTGGCCTGTGTGACAAGCAGGGCGCTGACCTCAGGCTCTCTATTCAGTTAGGTACACTTAGGGGACTTTTATTTATTTATTTTTTAAAGAGAGAAAGGATGTTTTGAAAATACAAAAGGGAAACTGAGAATTTGTTTCAAATCAAATGTTTCTTCCCTGGAGAACTAGTAATGAAAGTGTCATCATTTCTTAGTCCTCCCCTTTGAAAAGATAAATTTAGTCAAATACAGTCCTTGGTTTAAGACCCCTGGGGAGGCACTCTGTGTATCAGTTAAGCACAAAGGCTTTGGAATCAAACAGGCCTGCTTTAATACCCACCGTGCAACTTGGGGCAAGTTATTGCATCTCTACGCCTCAATTTCCCCACCTGTGAGATGGTGATGATAATGCCTGTCATTCAGGAAGACACAGATTTCCTGTGTGGCTTTTGAAACTTAAGATTCAGGTCCCTGTAAGTGCAGTGTGTTTCTGGGAGTTGCAGAGTTGGAGAGAAGAAGCCATTTTGCAGTCAGGACATATTTCTATGTAGGCATTTTTGTTAAATTGTCTAAAAGATCCTAGAAGAAAGGACTTAATCTTTAAGACTCCAGTGAATTGAAATGAATTTTTAATTTTAAAGAAATACATTTGTACTTAATTTTGTATTCATAATTCCGTATTTTCTTTTTTAAAGAGGGTCTTCCAAATTGTATAAGGTTCATGTTCCATGAAATCTGATCCACCCCCCGCTCATATGGTTGGTGCAATAAGTACATAAATGTTAGAAATCCTTAGTTCAACCAAAAGCAGAGCTATAGGAACAGACAGTATAAGCTTATTTATTGGATCATTGTTTGTGACAGCAAAAGACTGGAAACCACTTAGGTGTCCCAGTTAAATATGGCATATCTACATTATGGAAGACTCACTAGCTGTAATGGAGAATGAAAAGCTCTCCATGGACTGACATGAAAAAAAATCGCCAGGCTACATGGTTAAGTGAAAACAACAAAGTGAAATACAATGTATCTAATATGCCACTTTTGTGAAAGAAATGGGAGAAATAAGACTATCTCTACATATTTGTACAAAGAAACACTAGAAGGATAATGAGGAGTGGGGACTGCATAGTGTATACCTTTTATAACATTTTGAATTTTGAACCATGTAAAGGTATGACCTAGTAAAACAAGTGAAAGGAAATGACTCAGTAAACTTAATAAACTTTCAATAAGTGAAAGCCATTTTAAACCTTTTATTTTGAAAATTTTCAAACACAGCGCAAAGTAGAGAAGAGTAAGAAAAACCCTTTTACACCCATCACCTGGCTTCAGTAATTAGCAGTCTTGGCCATCCTTGGTTCATCTATCTTCCCCCTCCCCACTTTGGTGGCTCTTACTATTAATGCTGAATTTTGTTCTTGAGCCATCTAAATTAGCTTCTTATGTATGCCTGTGTTGTCCTTCCTCTAGAGAGTGGTCCTTATCCCATAGGCTAGGGACATTATGAAGAAAAAAAGAAAATATTTCAACTAAACAAGTGACAACTTGTTTAGAAACAATTTGTAGACAGAAGCTTCAAACCATCCAGCACCAGCGTAGTCTAGTTAAGAGTACAAGGTCTGGGATCACCTGGCTTGGTTGAAATTCCCAGGTCACCACTCAAGCTCTGTGACCTTGGTCAAGTTATCAACCTGTTTAAGACTCAGTTTCCTTAAAGGTGATATAACCCACTTCATCTTTTTTTTGTGAAATTAAATGAAGTTCTTTGTGTCTAGTGATCTTAACAATGGCTGGCACATAACAGGTATTGGTAAATATCTACAGGTAAATATCTATAGCTCCTTCTAACACTACCATCATTACTATTACTACTGTTACTGCTGTTACTACAACCAGGAGCACACAGACTCCTCCTCGCACTGCCTGGAGATCACATGTCCCTCAGATTTGTCTTGCAAGAGGTTCAGCTCTGAGGGGCTTTATGAAGCTATATAAAAGGGGCTATGTAAAAAGGTAATGCTTATTAATTATGGAACTTGGAAGTTAACTTGTCATTAATCTTGCTGTACGCTGATAAAGAAGTGCAACTAATTTTCTCTGTTTTGTGTTGGAATGATCATTTCTCACTGAGAGGGTCAAAATAGCAGTGATCTGCCTTAGAAATCTGAAGGCGGGTCAGCCCCTGCCTTATTCTGCTTCTTGGTGCTCTGCCAGTCACTTCATCCCATCATTCTTGTCTGATTAATGACCCAGCTCCTTCTCTGGGCCTTCTGAAGCAGATTGTCCTTTGCTTTTCTCAGTTGGGGTTCCCTGAGGTAAGATTTCCTGACGTTTTCTCTCCCTCTCAGGCCTTTGGGTTTTTTCCTCACTGTGGGTGGCGGTGTTGAGTGTAAACCAGAACACACTCGTGTGTGGGGCTGCTGGTTCAGAAGGGCACATGCAGAAAGCCACCACCTGGTTGCTGTGGGGACTAAATGACTCAGTGTGTAAAGTGCTCAGAACAGTGCCTGGCACGTAGTGAGGATTCTGTGTATTGCCACTCTGGGTTTTCCTTGGTATCGTTTTTGTGTATGCGACTTCATGCTTGTGTGCTAACACGAACTAGAATGCCATTTCCCGGATGTATAATGGTAGGTTAACAGGCATTTAAAGGTGCAGTTTCTTCGTCTCTGGAGCTGTAGCTTTCTAGAATACACATTTAATTTTCTCAGCATTCTCTGACCTGAGCACAACATTGAATTTATACAGTATTTAAAATGGAAAATTTTTTTTTGGTTTTAACTATAAAATAAGATTATTGCCTTAAAAAACATTTGTAGTATTTCCTTGGAACAGGTAGATGCTGCTGCTATCCTCATTTTATAGGAGTTTGACTTTCTTGGTCAGGCAGTTGGTTGATCACTGCCTGAACAAAGCCTAGGACCAGGGGTCATGGGTCTTTTGTGGCGTCTTTGTCTGGTGGGTGAAGTAGGGGAGGAGGGTGGGAGACTTGAACGTGGAAACTTAGCAGCAGCAGAGCCAGACCGTCTCTTTTTGTTGCTACCTATTATGTTTAGATAAATAATAGATTGCTTTTACTCAGACTGTTTGTACCCTCTTCCCTTTACATCTTATTCTCTTTAGGCCCTGTTTTTTGAGATAAAAGTTAAGCAGGGGAGAAGTTTACATTTATTTCTTTGAATGTAGTGTTTATTTGTTTACCTTGAGAGTATTATGAGCGTTGTTTTTAAAAATAGAATTGCTATTCTAATAGAAAACTTAATTTTTATTTAAAAAAATCACTCTACCACTATACATATATATACACACACACACGCTCTCCCTTTCTCGGAACTTTTTATTAGGAAAGGGTAAAATTAAGGAGACTTGTTCAGACCACGAGAAACTCGTGTTATTATGCAGCTAACCAGTGTGGTAAATAAGGCTAATATTCTTGGTTCTGTTTCCAACAGTGCAAATTCCGTGGGAATCATATACACTTCTGTCGACTGTGGATATAAAATCAGTAACTACTATGAATTGAGTGCTTGCTATGTGCCAGGCTTAGTTGCGTGTGCTGAGCGCATTGTGACTCATTCAGTCCTCACCACAGCCCCAGGGGACGGTGCTGTTTTGTGCCCATTTTACAAATGAGAAGCTAAGGTACAGAGAGAGGAAGTAAGGGGCCCACAGCCACATGTAGAATGAGTGGTGGAGTCAGGCTTCAGATTTGGGCAGTCTGGCTCCAGACCCTGTGACCCCACATCTGTGGGATTTCCAGGAAGAGAATCCTAAATCTGGATTGAAATGAGCTCAGTTTCGGACGGAAGACCAATAGCAATCACTTCTGCTTTTGCACTCTTCTACATCCCTGCATA